TTAACTTTAATGATTATAACTTCATTGAAAATGCAATTATTTTTGTAAGTTTTTGTTTAAATCATAAAAATTGCTTTAAAACATACATTTTGATAAAAAACAGATGAACAAAATTACATTTACAGGATTCCCTCACCTCCTTAAAAACCTTAATTATCCTTAAAAAATAAAAACCTCTCTAAATGTCCTTAAATAACCTTTAAAAAAGTTAAAATTTGACTGCTCTCCTTAATTTCTCCTTTTTTTTTTTTTTTTAATCATCTAGAAATTTTTTTAAAGTGAATGGATTATTGTTAATAAAGAGCTTGTTAATAAAGAAGATAATATATAGATTTTTGATAGTTTTGAAACCTATTTTTGTTATTATATATATATTAATATTTATATATTTATACATTTATATATAAAGTAATAATAGTTTCTCTGTTTATATTCAAAATTTATTGAAAAAATAAGATTATGTTTTTAATGTAATTGTTTTTTCCTTAATTATCCTTACTTTTTCTTTCAAAAAAATGTCCAAATCTCTCTAAATATTAGAAAAATATCTCCTTAAATCTCCTTAAAATCTTTAATTTTAGCCTTATTTTTAATGGTGGGAACCCTGATTTACATAAAGAATAAATACTTTTTATATAAAAAATAAGAATATACTAATAAAATCTATAATTTATAATAAACTTTTAAAATTTTGACAATTTAATTAATATATATTTAAAACATTTATTTTTGTAAATAAATAATATATATTCTTGAAAAAGTTAATGCAAGAAATCTCAAAACGTAACAAATCGTGAATAATACAACTACTAAAACATTTCAACAGAATACTCTAGAACTTTATTTCGCTTAGTCAGCGTATTTTTTGAACCAATAGAATTAGTTTGTTCGTTAATTTGGCGGGTTTTTAGTGTTTGTGAATATTCTTTCTATTCTTTCGCACCAAAATGTTTTGAGAACATTCAAGTATTTTATGTTTTCATGTATGTCCGTAAAACAAAATTTTTTTGTTTTGTACATAATCTTAAATGTTCTCAAAACTAAAAAACTAAAAAACCTGGCCAGTTTTTCGCAACTAAATTTAATTTCCGTGGTCAGTATTCGAAAGCGATTACTCCCGCTTCCCAACCAAGCCTGATATATATATATATATATATATATATATATATATATATATATATATATATATATATATATATATATATATATATATATATATATATATATATATATATATATGATATATATATATATATATATATATATATATATATATATATATATATATATATATATATATATATATATATATATATGTATATATATATATATATATGTATATATATTTATATATATATATATTTATATATATATATGTATATATATTTATATATATATATATATATATATATATATATATATATATATATATATATATCAGGCTTGGTTTCAGTTATCAAGTTTATATATATATTAGGGGTGCACCGATGCATCGGCCATGATAACTATCGGCTGGTGCCGATAGTTTCAAAAAATCAGATTTTAAAATTTTTTTGTTTCTATATTGTATAAAAAAATATAATAATTATATTTTTTTATACAATATAGAAACACAAAATTAAAAAGACTCATTTTTCAAAACAATCGGCATCGGCCAATGATTATACAGGCCGATGCCAATTGTTTTGAAAAATGAGTCTTTTTAATTTTGTGTTTCTATATTGTATAAAAAAATATAATTATTATATTTTTTTATACAATATAGAAACACAAAATTAAAAAGACTCATTTTTCAAAACAATCGGCATCGGCCAATGATTATACAGGCCGATGCCAATTGTTTTGAAAAATGAGTCTTTTTAATTTTGTGTTTCTATATTGTATAAAAAAATATAATAATTATATTTTTTTATACAATATAGAAACACAAAATTAAAAAGACTCATTTTTCAAAACAATCGGCATCGGCCAATGATTATACAGGCCAATGCCAATTGTTTTGAAAAATGAGTCTTTTTAATTTTGTGTTTCTATATTGTATAAAAAAATATAATTATTATATTTTTTTATACAATATAGAAACACAAAATTAAAAAATCTGAGTTTTTTAAACAATTGGCATTGGCTGATGGTTACCAAGATCGATGCCAAGGCCGATGCATCGGTGCACCCCTAATATATATATACTAGCTGGGGTGACCCGTAAAATACAAGTCTTTACCGAACCGACCATTTTTATACTTATCTATAGCTATCCGGACGTAAACTAAGGGTCTTAGTAAATCTATTCCACACCGACCTTTTCTATACTTATTCCTTACCTCGATATTTTTTTAAAACCGTTTAAAAATGTACATATAAAAAACTATACTTACTTTTTGATATGACAAAAACATTTCTGTTAAAATGTTCTTTTAAAAACTTCAAACGATTTTAATATTATGCCGATTATAAAAATTTTAATAAGAAAAAACGTAAAAAAGACTACGAACTTAGAAAAATGCTAAAACATTCAACACGTGACGCCGTTTAAATACACATCTAATTAGATTTTATTTAAACTCAGTTGTTGCAAACTTGGTTTTGAATTTTTAATTACACTTCTTATGCGTCATAAATAATCTTAAATTCTAAATAGAAAATACGTTTATGGGCTAATTGGTAGACGCGCAACACTTAGACAGATATAGTCATCTTACCCCGGGAGTTCATACTCCAGTGACTTTTTTTTTCATCCCAACTTACAACAAAAGTAATTAAAAATAAATGTTATTATTGAAACAGTTTTAAACATTTCTTCCTATTTATCTTTGAACTTAACTTTATTCACTGCAAACATACTTTTGGTGTTTGTAAGCGTTATTTTACGTTTAGTATTTGTAGGAATTATTTGCAGGCACGTATTTTAAACAATTATTTTTACTGTTTCATCTAAAAATCTTATTTAATTTAGTTTAATAATTTCTTAAATATAATATATATAATATAATTTAAAATATTTTATTAACCCTATTTAAATAAGTATCAAAACTCTTTCCTTTAATTTAAAAAGAATTTAAAATTAACGTAGGCTATAACGATATTTTACCCTTTCATCAACATTTATTTAAAAAGTAAATTTGGATATAGAAAAACGGGTTAAAGACTTATTATTTTAAATAAGTTAGCTTTATCTATTTAATGCTTTTCGTAAAAGCGTTTCTTTAAAGATTCTTAACAAATCATTCAAGCTGTTTTTACTGCCTAAGTTACTAAACCTGTTGTGTGTGCCAAAAATCGATACTTAATGCAAATGGAAACTTCGAGTGCTAATGGTGATTAAAGCATAAATGGTTCCTATTCATATATAATAAAAGGAAATATGAAAGACAAAGCAAAAATGATTTTTATATCCATTTAAACCAATAAATCCCAAAATAAAAAATTATAGATATTTACTTAAAAACATATTTTTCTTGATATAAAATAAAAATATAACCTTTAGTACAAATTACAAAAAAAAAATTTATTCAACAGAGCTACTTATAATACAGTTTAAATTGAATCATTGTTTCATAAATATTAAGCTTTAGGTAAGCCATAATCAAGTCAGCTATAAGAAACAGAACTAAAAACTTTTTTTTTTAAATTTTACAATATCTATTATATATAACATAAAAAGTATCAGAAGTACTTTATAAAATCAATTTGATTTGTTTCCCTATAATATATCTTTTAGTAAATGGTATAAAGATTAACAAAACTTCCCTTTGGATGTTAAAAAACGATCAACATTAAGAGAAGGCATTCGAACTAAAATAAAACAAAATTATTGAAAACATAACACATTAATGTACTCTTTTATTTAAAAACTCAAAAGTGTGACCAAGGCGATATCAAATAAGAAACTTACATTGAGATTGTTTTTTTTGTGTGAATAGGTTTTGTGTAAAGGTTTCAAGATTTTTTGTTGCAAGGTTCGATTATAAACTCTTTTCAAAAAAAGCACACTAAAAATAATCAAAAAAAGATAACCCTTACAGTTTAATATAAAAATTCAATGCTTGGCTTTTAGTGAATGATTATATATAGTCAGTTTCAGTATGAAACAACCCTATAATCATTTTTAACGATAGACACCGACGTGAAGGTAAGCCAAGTCGTCTATCAACACAAAACATCACAACAGTAACATCACAAACATCAATAACAAATAGCACAAAATCTTACAGTAAAGACTCAATAACTTAAACCACCAAAGGATCCAGCAATTAGCTTATTAGAAAATATTTCAGTTAGTGGTAGTATGATCCATAAACAATCGCTCAACTGGAATTTTAAAATTAGTTTGATTTATTCAAGTTGATTTATTAAGTTATCCAGACTTTATTGTAAATACTTTATTTACTAACAGCATAACATACTTGCAAGTACACATTTTGTGATTACAAACAGATTTTATTATGTGTTTCATGTCAGTACGCCGCTTGGCTAGCAAGGACAACACTCTTGCCATAAACAAAGCCAAGTCACATTATTCAAAGTACACCGCTTGGCTAGCAAGGACAACACTCTTGCCATAAACAAAGCCAAGTCACACCACTTTGAAACCATGAAAACAACATAATAACAACTCACAAACTATAAACAGATAACATAACAAAAAATACACTTCATATGTAACAGCCATTTACACATTAATTACACATAAATACTTACAAAATATAACATACTTATAAGTACACATTTTGTGATTACAAACAGATTTTATTATGTGCTTCATGTCTGTACATCACTTGGCTAGCAAGGACAACACTCTTGCCATAAACAAAGCCAAGTCACATTATTCAAAGTACACCGCTTGGCTAGCAAGGACAACACTCTTGCCATAAACAAAGCCAAGTCACACCACTTTGAAACCATGAAAACAACATAATAACAACTCACAAACTATAAACAGATAACATAAAAAATACACTTCACATATAACAGTCATTTACACATTAGTTACACATAAACACTTACAAAATATAACCTTAACACATATTTAAACACATAATAAATATCACACATTACTGCATCAAGCAACACACAAAAATACTTTAAATTACAGTTAAAATATTTATAAGAAATGAGGAGTTTAATTGTAAAAAATTAATTATTTATAGATTTAGTACATTGGTAAATACAACATTGTTTGTGTAGCATTTGTTAAATGACATACCTTGTAATGAATGCTCATCAATTTTAAAAAATAAGGTATTAAACGATCTTGTTCTTGAACATGCAACATAGAGTTGACCATGTGAAAAGCAAGGGTTTTTGAGATAAATACCAACTTTGTCAAAAGTTTGACCTTGACTTTTATTTATGGTCATTGAGTATGCTAATCTTACAGGAAATTGACGACGCTTAAGAGTAAAAGGTAAATTTGAATCAGATTGTGTTAACTGAACCCGAGGGACAAATACCCTCTTGCCAACTGAAACACCTGTTAGAACTTGCCCATCAATGTAATTATTTTGTAGAGCACGCACTATCAATCGGGTACCATTGCAAAGTCCAGCTTTTAGATCTAAATTTCGAAGTAACATTATAACAGCACCAATTTTTAGCTTTAGGCAATGAACAGGCATTCCTGATGGAGTAAGACTGTTTAAAAACTCAACAGGAAAATTATTGATTTCGTTAAGATCATCTGTTTCAATAGTATCAGCACTTAAATAAACCTTAACGTCACCTGGTAAACGGTCCAAAACTTCTTCATTTATTGCTAAAGAATCAACATTATTGGGTGTCAAAATGGCACGTTTAGCATAATCATCTTCTTCTGCAACTCCAAAAATCTTGTCTACTAAAGATTCATTTTCTCCAAGCAAGCATTGCTCAGGAATCTCAATGCACCCGCGAAAGGAACCATCTGCTTTTAAAGGTAATGTTCCACTACCAAGTTTTAAAAGCCATTGAGAGAATTCCTCTTCTTCGGCCTGAACCCTCATATTTTCTGTTAATGAAAATCGCTGAACATATTGCCAATGTTGAGAACATTTTATACAGGCTTCAACAATATCAGCTGGTTGCCCTCTCTTTACAACCGGAAGTATTTGCCTAAAATCCCCACCTATAAGAATAACTTTACCACCGAAAGGAAACTTGTTATTGCAAACGTCTTGAAGTAACTTATCAATGGCATTTAAAGCATGTTTAGGTATCATGGATGCCTCATCTAGTAAATAAAGGCTAACTTGCCTCAAGAATTTTCCGTGTATAGAATTTGGAGTTACATTGCATGTGCTATTTTCCAAAATCGGCACAGGAAGTTTGAACAAACCATGAAGTGTACATCCTTTTTTTAAAAGAGTTGCAGCTATTCCTGTCCATGCAGCTGTTGCAGTTATAATATGTCTACTGCTGGTTTCAGCGATTAAATAGTTGTATGTAAATGTTTTACCACAACCTGCAGGGCCATCCATAAAAAACAATCTAGACTGCTTGTTTTCATTGTTAGGTTGCTCACTAAGAGCAGAAAGGATAGCATCAGCAATTTGATGCTGATTATCATTTAACAATGGTCTAACCCTATTTGCTTCATCAATTAAAACCTGAAAATCTTCCTCTTCATTTTGTGGGACATAATCTAAAAACTCATCTAAAGTAGGAAGATTAACATCAGCTAAAGTCTTACCATTCTGATTAATTATAGATTCAATTTGACGCAAAGCTGCCTGCTCAGCAATTATTGGTGGCATGGAATGGTGAATGTAATCCTCCATCATAAAATCTTTAAAGGCATTCCAAAGATTTAATGGATCATCAGGTTCACAGAAAGTCAAAATAATGGAAAACAACTGTCTAATTTGATTTGGCAACCGAGTTGCAGCAGCCTCAGTTAATGTATTTCTCCATTCAGCGTCGTCTTGTAACAGACCTAATTGAGAACATGCTTCTCGGAATGTATTAAAAACTGTACCATTAACAGTACGCAAATCTTCAAAAGAAACTGCACCTCTAACATGCAAAAGTAACATTCTAAGATAAAATATTTCACCTATTGGACTCACTTTATACATCCTAACAATCACCTTATTGCTACCTCTTTGCCTAACTTTCCATTTACAATGTTTGCTATCAAAAACAAAGTGGTAAGGAATTTCAACATATGGATAGTGTCGGGCTTGTTCATTTTCAACATTTAATTTAAACCATGCAGTTAGGTGAGTGTCACGCTGTGCTGCACGGTCTAAAGCTGCCTGTTCTTCGCCTTCTACAAAATATATCATCTGATTATCTGGCAGATGAACCTGAAGTCGAATGATGTTATGTGACATATCACTTAAAGAATACTCAAATATTCGCCACAATGCTTCTGGAGCTGAGACATAGCGACAATTTAAAAACGTGTTTATTTCATCATGGTTAACTTGCTCATTTATCACCACATTGGCACAGTCATGCCCTTTGTAAATGTACTTATATAAATACTTAACTGACTTTATGGTCATGCAGGCTTCAACATTTATGTGTGCTTGATATTTTTTAGAAAGCCATGGGTTATAAGGTACAACCCAACGGTTGTCAACTTGATTACCTTTTATATTTACAATTCTTCCATTATCGACGCGCCTATAGCGTGGATAACCATTAAAAATTGCAACAGTGTGGGGATTAAATTCCTTAGGAAATTTTTTTGTGCATTTACCATCTTTCATGCAGGGAGAATTGGGATTTAAAATTCCACATGGTCCATGTATCATGCATGATTTTATAATTTCAAAAAGTTCAGGATCAACAGCTGGGTCTGGGATTTCTGCTGATATCAAACTATCAATATCTTCTGCTGTTTCTAGCTTATCAGCATTTACAAAGTGCAATAAAATATTTACATGTGGCAAACCACGCTTTTGAAACTCAATAACCTGCACATGACTTACAACTTTGCCTAAGACTCCATGCTTAAAAATATCCTCTAAGAAAAATTTAAGTTTCATTTTAAATACCCGACAAACTAAATCAGGTCTGTCATTAGCAGTTTGGCCTGGGTTTAAATTTTCTACTATTTCTCTCCATTTTGGATTGCAGGTAAAAGTAATGAATAGATCTGGTTTACCATATTTCTTTATGACTGCCATCGCATCTTCAAAGTTTTCTTTTAATGCTCTTGGACTACCAACATATGAAGAAGGCAATATAACAACACGGCCTGGTCTTACATTAAGATCATTAGCACGATTAATTACATGTTCATGCAATGCATCATATTGCTCACTTCTAAGTTTGTTTTGGTTATTTCTAATAAAAGCAAGGCGCTGTCCCTCAACTTTGACATATGCATCAACAACATATTGCTGAAAAAGTTTCTTACCATAGAATATAGGACTAAAAGTTTGTCTAACAGCAAGCCTATAATTATAATACTGAGACAAAGTAACATGGTTTCTAACACGGGTTGCACGGTCAGGGTTGTGCTCTAGTTGATTGTGCCATCCAGCATCACCTCTCGGGAAGAATATTGGATATACCAAAGGATCCAAATTTGCAGACATAGACGAAATTGTTCTTAAAGGCTGACCTCGAGGGTATATAACAATTTCCCTGGATGCAGGTGGAGCACCATCATCTCCCACAAACACAATAGCAACTTCCTCATGGGAAGGAAGATTGTATCGACGTCTATCATGACCTTCAAGCAAAGACATTCTTACAACAGAGGTTGGTCTACCTTCTAAAGCTGCTTGGCGGATTTCTTCATCCTCTACTTCTGCCATGTTTTTAAATGCAAGAGCAAATGGGTTTTCTTGATTAATTAATGTTTGCAAGAGTTGCATTAACTCATGTATACAACCATCATTACCAGGTTGTTCCATTCTGAATGACACTGCTGCATTAGGATCATAGATATACAGCTGACAATATTTGGGCAGACAACCTTCTGCAGGCCTTAAATTTCCAACACGATGCAAAATTTGCCCACAGACCCTAAAACAGAAAGGGCCATTATTTGAGGGAGGAGCTATTTCGGCAGTGAAGGAAGCAAAAGATAAAGAGGAATTATAACTCCTTATGTGTTTAAAAAAATTTTGATTTACAGCATGATCAACATGGTTTCCTGTCATTAAACCAGTCAACAATGGCGGATAAAGAGAAAGAGGAGCTAATGCAACTTTTCCTGAATGGCAGCACAAAAAATGAGTTTCATTTAAAAACTTCTTTGCACTGCAATACTGACAATTATGGTTTAATTCTCCGAGGTAGTTACTCTCTATAGCAATATTATTTCTTGCTATACGATGCATATTATACCTATTAAGTTCTCGCCTAGCCTGATTTCTTTCATTTTGATTACAATTTATTTCAGCTCGCCGGGGCTCATCTCTTTCAATTCGACGACGATTTATCTCAGCTCGCCGGGGCTCATCTCTTTCCATTCGACGACAATTTATCTCAGCTCGCCTGGGCTCATCTCTTTCATTTCGACGGCGGTTTATCTCAGCTCGCCTAGCCTGCCTTCTTTCATTTTGACGAAGTCTAATAATTTCATTTCTTAAATTATTAGACATAATTAGGCATCAAAGGAGTGTGTAAAAATGATGCCTAATATAATAAAAGTTGAAGTTTCTTTTTTAAACTTATCTAAAATAAAGTGTAAGCAAATAATACAGAGCATAATACTATAATCTATTATATTCTACCATATATAGCATTGTGTTAAGATAACATAGTTTTATTAAAAACTTAAACTAAAGTTATAAATTAATGTAATATTTTCAACTAAGTATTGTTTATATATTTATGGTAGTTGTTATCAATTATTGACAAAATATTATAAGTATTTAATCAAAAAAAACAAAAAAAACAAATGTAATTTAAAAAACAAATTTTTTACATATAAGAACTCATAAATAAAGCAAATTAAAAAAATTTAAGGCCTGTCAACTCAGCAGGTACTGCTAGCATGGAAGGATAAAATGTAATCATCCATCAACAAAACCCTTTCATTACTTTGAAAGGCATTTAACGCAAGATTTGCAATAAATAAATACAAAACTACTAAAAGAACCTCTATAAACAATCATATATTTGCTTCAAGTGAAGAAACTTGGAAATATTGAAACTTCTTTTACTATTTTTTTTTTTTTTTAGATATTTAATATTCTAAAGAAAAAGGGACAATAATTTAAGGCAAAAAAATTAAAATGTCTATACATATAATATATGTATAGACATTTTAATTCTATATATTTTATTGTGTGTGTGTGTGTGTCTATATATATATATATATATATATATATATATATATATATATATATATATATATATATATATATATATATATATATATATATATATATATATATATATATATATATATATATATATATATATATATATATATATATATATATACATATATATATATATATATATATATATATATATATATATATATATATATATATATATATTGATGTACATACAAAACATTAAAATAATAATATAAAGAAAACATTCTCTATACAAAAAATCCTAAAAATTTAACAAAAGTTATTAAAACTTATGCTTCAACACGCTGTATACTTACTTTTATATATATAAAAAAAATTTGAGTTAAACATATTTAATGAAGAAAATCGAAACTCTTAAAAATTTTAATGAGGAGGAGCTGTTAGTAAAGCCTGCTTTTTAACAAAATTTATTTATTGTCAAAAGCATACATTGTTAAGAACAGAGGATAACAACATTAAAACACATTTTTTAAACAATATTTTTTCAACACATTTTAGAAATACACTAATTACAAACAGAATTAATTTATGTGTTTTATTATGACAATACACCACTCTGCTGGCGAGGACAATATTTTTGCTCTCAACAAAGCCAGGTCACATTATAGCAAAGTACACCACTTGGCTAGCGAGGTCAACAATCTTGCTGTAAACTAAGCCCAGTCACAACAATTTGAAACCATGCAAACAACATAATTATCACTTACAAACTATAAACATATTACATATAACACACCACAAACATTGAAACATTTCATATATTTACACACTTACAAAATATAAACCCATATAACCTTAACACATATATACACAATAAAACACAATATAAATAACACACATATATAGATAAATATATAAATTAAGAAAAATATATAAATTTGAAACTTTACAAATACAACCTTATTTTTGTTTTTTGAAATACCTCGTAATAAATGTTTAACAACTTTCAAAAACAAACTATCAAACAATCTGGTTTTTTATACGGATTTTTATAACTTCTTTTAAATAAGGTATTAAACGATCTTGTTCTTTAACATGTAACATTGAGTTGACCGTGTGAGATGCAAGTGTTTTAAACACTAACTTTATCAAGAGTTTGACCTCTTGACCTTTGAAATGAGCAACGTCTTCTTGAGTCGTCTTTTAATTTAAAAATTAGAGATTAATTTTATAAATTAATAAATTTAAATACAATTGACAAAAGACTAAAATGCATGATTTAAATAAATCACCTGACTTTAAAAGTTACTTTACTAATTCAATAATAACATAATGTTCATCCTTTACTACAGAAGTTATCAAATAAAAATTGTTGATCTTATCACTAATTAAGCTGATGAAACAAAGTTTTTGATCTCATTACTGATTAAGCAGATACTGACAGATTATTAAGATTTGAAAGAGCCCCATTAGGCGAGTTCAGAAGTAAAGCAATTTATGATAAAACTCAAAGGCCAAGTATGGTAAAAAAATCTGTGTAAAGGTGCACGAATGGTGAGCAGCAGCGTTAAGTTAAGTATTAATTATAAGCGATATATATATATATATATATATATATATATATATATATATATATATATATATATATATGTATAGATATATATATATATATATACATATATATATATAGATATATATATATATATATATATATATATATATATATATATATATATATATATATATATATATATATATATATATATATATATGTATGTATATATATATATATATATATATATATATATATATATATATATATATATATATATATATATAAACTTGATAACTGAGTAAGTGTTTGTTTATCATTGCTGAATTGCTAATTATCATCTTTTACTTTATTTTAATTGTAAAATAGCTTCATTTTGATTGGTTACTTTGTCACACACACAAAAAATAAAGTTTCAATTTGCAATGTTACATCTCAATTGTTATTTTCTTTTAACTTTTTAAAGTGTTGAGACCTAATGCAATGTAAAATAACCTAGATTAGAGAAATAATTATAATACGTTTCAAGTATAGATTAGAGATTAACATTACGCTTCGTCTCAGTTGTTTACAATTTAAAAAGTTAAAAAAAAATTTTAAACTTCAATTGTTCCCAATTTAATTGTTTTTAATTGTTTACACTTTAAAAATTAAAAAAAAAAGTTGAGGTGTAATGTAAAATAAAAAAATCTGATTGTGACGTATTTTAATTATATTTAAATTCTAAATGTTTTACGTTGCATTACAGTCTTTCACAGGAAGGTGTACGATCGCATGTCGTAATATGACCATGCATTTAATATTTTCGTTTCGTTGACATGTACACAGCTTTTAAAATAGTTTGATAATTTTCGCACATTTTAAAAATGGCACTTAAAAAGCAAAAGTAAATGAAATAAAAATGAAAACAAAAACCATAAACTAAAAAAAGAAAATAAATTTTAATCTAAGAGAGTGTAAAAAGTTAGCCTTTAAACCAAATGTATATTTTTTAAATTGAAAGTTTTTTGTTTGATAAATTTGTGTAAAGATCACAGTTTTGAAGTAAATTATTCCAAACTTATTTTAGTAAAACATGTATTTAAAATGAATATGTAAAATGAATATGTATAAATTTTAAACTGAAATATTTAATAATTTTATTACATGTGGGGTTTATTTAAAATTTTATGTAAAATTTTAATGCTGTTTTGATATAAACTACATACTAAAATACAAGACTTATCACTTCTTTTTTTTATTTTACTGTTTTTCTTTTCTTAATTTTAGGATGCTTGTTGTTTCTATCAACAAACTTTGATACAGTTTTTTCAAAGTTGTAAAATCTAAAATTATATTTTTAAAATATTGAAAATTTTTTTTATTTTTATAAAATGTGAGGTTTATAAAAACCAACAAAATGGGTTTAAAAATAATATTATACATAAATTATCGATAACTATATAATAAACTATGCCTAGGGCTGCCAAATAACTAGAGCAGGGCCTGTATTCTTTATTAAAGGTCTTTTATTTAAAAAAATAACAGTCAGTGTGCTGATACAGCAGCCGTGGCGCAGTGGTTAGAGTTCTGGCTCAGAACCCAGAGGTCCGAGGTTCGATGCCAGCTCTAGCCCAACAAGCGACATTGGTATGGAAGGAGGCGTGATTTTCCTGTTAAATGCTCACCCGCGGTGCTCTATGATAAGACCGTAAGGACTTCTGGGAGCACTTGAATACATACAACAACAAAAAAAGTATACATTTTTCACCTGCACTGTTGGATGACCATAAACAGAAGCGCAAATCAGCAAAATATTTGCAAAATATTTGGAAAAAAAGCTTTTTTAACTTTCATTTAAAAAAAAATCATTTTTGCCAAACTTCTAAACAAGTTCACTTTGCAGGCCTTCGCGTAAGAGGCGTGCGGTCACACGCCTTATATGACCATGCATTTAACTACTTTACCACAGCTCTTTGCAAGTTTTGATAATTAGCGAGTTTAAAAAATA